TCATTTTCACTCTGACCGTGACCCACGGTTGTTCACAGACCTGTCTCTGGGCGTGCCCATCGGGTTGCCCGACTTCGTTCGCAGACACCTTCGCTCCACCCTCGAACGTCAGACATCCTTGCTTGACCAACCCCCTGCATTGGAGGATGCCCAGGACGCATGGCTATTGTTAAATACGACTGCCGACACTTGGACTGGCTGTTCTTCGTTTCACTGCGAGCCGCGCGGCTTCAAAAGAAGTGGCCAAGTCATTGAGGACTTGCGTGACCAGGGTCCCTACAGGAGGTCCTTGCGGACGGGCTTTATCTTAAAAGCGGCAGACCAACTGGAGCAGCCGGGTGCAATTTGCAATGGTCTCCTGGTGGAGAATGGCTTGGAAAAATGGCGCCCCCCCGTGTAGTTGCACCCGCCCCGCTCCCCAAGTTCGTGTTGCGCAGACCATTCGTAACGAACACCCTGATGGTGGCGACGCCGTGCCCCTCGAAAACCCTCCTGGCGGCATGCATGCCAAAGTGCACCTCCGCCACGTTCGGCTCAAACTTCTGCAGCACGTCCAACAAGCGCGAAGGAGGCGCACGCTTCTTTGCTGCTGATCACTTGCGGCTGCAACAGGAATAGATCACAGAGGTCGCTGGGTTCACTCGACTGCTAGGTATTGCGCAGGGGCTGTATGGCTTGCACCAAGGGCTTCACAAGGCTACTTGCCCTCGCCCACACCTGCCCAGTATCGGCTGCGACTTTCCCAGCGCCGAGCTGCACGAAAGCATGCTTGTTCAGAACGCTGCCCCGGAGACCCTGCGCCGCGTTGAGGAAGAACACAGCGGGCAGAACCTCAGCAGACGCCGCGGCGTGTAGCAGCACGAGGAACGGGTAGGCGACCGTATCCGCGATGAAGCCGTTGACCTCCATGGCCGCCGCGCAATCCTGCACCAGCTGGTGGGCTGCAGGTTGGTACTGGGGCAGCGCCGGGTCCCAGTCTGGCGCCGTCTTGGCGAAATCATTGAAGTACAAGAATCGCCCTGCTGCATGTAGATCTCAGGCAAGGTTGCTGCGGCCGCCTCTACTCGCGCCGGTCCCGTTCCAAGAGGCATCGCATAGTCTCCTGCGCAACAGCTGGAAAGCACAACAGGCCAGCAAATGAAGCGCACACACACACACACACGCACACACACTCGGGCAATGGCTGAGCACTGCGCCAACACAAACACACAAACGCACTCAGGGAATGCTGTGGCGCACACAGGTCGAGGTGCTGAGCACACACATGGCAAAGTCACACGCACTGTCGTCAGATCAGAGAGGTCTGCGCCTGCGCACACGCACGCACGCCGACACTTTCAGGCAACATCGCTGACAGGCCGAGCTTGTCCCCCAGCTCATGGACAACGCCGATGCGCTACACGCAATGCAAAAGGATGAGACAACCTACAGAGGAATCTAGACATGAAACTAATTGTGGCAATTGAATTCAAAGCACCTGAAAAATTCTCTTGCCTTGCAAGCCAGAGGGAGAGGACAAACAAGAGAGAGAGAGAGAGGCAGAGAAAACACCTAGCGCGTTTGGCAAGACCGGTGGGCGGCTTCCACAATCTGATGGCACCTGCAAGGCAGCATTTTGGCAGGGCAAGTCAAGACGCACACGCACACACGGACGCGCACCCTGAAACAACATCGTAACTCACCCGGACCGACGCATCTGATCATGCGCCATGCTGACAAGACACGCAAGCGGACTTACTCTCAGGAACGCTGTAGCACGCAGAGATCAAATTAGTCGCACGCGCTCGCTGATAGGCCGAGCTTGTCCTCAAGCTCATGGATGACGCCGATGCACTACGCACAATGCAAAAAGATGAGACCTCCTAGAAATTAATCTAACAATAAAGCTGTAATCTTGGTACTTAATCAACAACAGCACATGAAAAGCACTCCTGCCGTAACACCATCCACAGCAACAAAACCTTGTCCGTTGCAACCGCACGGGCTCCCTGACGCACGCCACACGAGCCACGGTAGTCTGTGCAGCCCTCCTCCTCTGCCCGGCGTTCATCTTGCGAGGCTTCGCCAAGCTCATGGAGGCTAGTCAACTGCGTGGAGGGTGCAAGTCGCGGTGGTACACGCAAGTCTTGGAGCAATGCTGCTTCCCACAAGATTCACAGGATTTCCAGGTTTTCCAAAGCAAGCCAACCTTGGTCATCTGGACGAAATGGCATCGATCGAGGGACGTCTACCCAGTGGGCCGCCAACTCAAGCAACTCCAACTCGAACCCCGCAGCATCATCTTGCTGCTGCACGTTGCGGCCGCACGTGGCAAAGTGCTGCCCACACATACACACACGCACACCAGGGTCCAGGACGTTCGTTTGGCTTGTTCTCGGCGGAACGCCGAATAGGCGAAGGGGGAAACCACGCGAAACTTCCTTAGCAGAGGTCGGCCCTTGTGATCTTGCATTAGCAGGCCCACACGGAGTTGCTGGGGCCTCTCCAAGAGTGCAACAATGCGCTGCAGCGCATGCTGTTGCTGTTGGTTTGTACAAGATGTAGAGCGCGTTTAGGCGTCAACTCGGCCCGCACAACTTCCTCCTCGCCAATTGCTGGTCCTGGGCTGCCGCGTAGACCTTTGAGCAAGAGCAAGAGATCCGCTTTAGGATCGCTGAGCTGTGGGCTCTCACGGCCGAGCCAACTTTGGCCTGCGGGAATAATCCTGGTGCCCAATCAGTACATGGCCTTCCGCATGGCCCGCCGCAACAGCGCCACCACTGCAGGATGAAAACTCCAGTTATCCACGTCACAATTGCGCGCATGCCACGTCACGTGCGCCTGTTGAGAAGTGGGCAGAAGGCCTTGAAACATGGACCCTGCGGGCTCTTGTTGTTCACTACTGATCGGCGAACTCTGATTTGTTGATGGTTGTTGGCGCTATTGTCCTTTGACTTGACGTGTTGATAGAGTGACCGCTTTTGCTGTGTCACATGTCACGCGCTTTGCCTGCACAATCAATCGAATCCTCGAAACCTTTGTTACATGAGAACATGCAATTTAAGCGAATCACATGTGAGGTGTTCCAAAAAACCCTGTTGCGAGGAAATCGCTAGCTCGTCTTGTGACTGGCGCCCCACATCTGTGGTTTAGATGTGTTCACCTGATACTGAAATTTGTGGGAATGCGACTCGCAGTCTTGGATCCCATTGCTGTGAGGGCTTTGACGCAGGACAACAGTAACAGAACCTTGTCACTTTTGCGACTCAGCCAAAGCACCGTCATGGTGTAGTCTTCGATTGACAGATATTCGTTTTGGGTTCTGCCGTTGCTACATCACGGAATTCTTCATTCCTAATGCATGGGTACGGCTTGCATTTGCCATTCTTCATCTGGGAAGGAAGAAAATTCTCGCGATGCATTCACAGGACCTAGCGGGTTTCCTCAACTTCCGGGAGCAAACGCAAGATCCTTTAGCGGATTTGGCACGTCTACCCAAGGCTCACAGCAAAAACACACCCGCTCAAGAGAAGCGTTCGCTTAAGCAAATGCCATATCCACATGTTGTATTTTCACGCACCGCACCTGTGTCTATGGATGTTGGCTGTGCAGCGCTCCGCTGTCAGTGATTCAGTGCCTGATGCCTGTCGTGCCGAAAGCATGGGCCAAAAATTCGAGACCTACCTGGTCCTCCTTCGCGCAGCTTTCAAGACGACCACGACATTGACATCAAGGGACCGACAATACAACGCACAATTTGCAAGCTAGCCGGAAAACTTATTCGGCACGCTCGTTTGCTCGCCCGGTTGCATGATGCCATGCGCAAGTCAAATGTTACGTCCTTCCCATTCATGATGCTTAATGTTCAACCCCTGAGCTTGCGTCTGGGCTTCAATTCTTTCAGTTTGCCAGAATTGTTCATGTTTCTGTTCCGGGTTGTCTTTTCGGGACATGTCGACACTTCGGCATGCTTGGACTTTTCGAACTATTGTTTGAGTTCTTGCTTTCCCTCATGGGCCCTGATTATCGCACCGCTTCTACCAGGCATGATGCTGCAAGAAATTCCAGTGCTTTGGTACCTCATTGCCGCAAAAACAACACCTGTCGGACAATAAGTTGATAGTGTGTCAGACAGCTGAATAGTCACAAGGCCAAAAAGCTAGTCTCTCTACACGTATGTACCAGATCACCAGCCTGTATCACGCGAGGGCCGCTGACGAATTCTTTAGCAGCTGCTGCTGCAGGCGTCGACATGACGAGATACAAAGGCTTGTTGCTTGGGCTTTGTGGCTTTCGCATCTGTGGCTTTGTGGCTTGGTGACTCTGCTGGAATTGTTGGAGGATCTTTGAGGCATATGAGCCATGAGTGTCAGGCTTGCTTGATCTAGCTCATGCCTGACCTGATGCTCCTATTGTCCTTACCTCAAGGCACTGACGTGGACACTTGGCACATACAGTGCTGGAAGGCAGCAAATGCTACAGAACGCAAACAAGACAATTGCATGGCCACTTGGATAGTGGGTTCAAAAGGACACCTAAATCTCAAAACAGGTTGAGGCTTGCAAAACTCATTTCGGAGTCAATGAAACGAATCTCGATACACTGCGACCGTCCTCACCATCCTCACCTTCGCATGAGGTTCTCAAATGCGCAGGACTAGCAGACTAGCACAGCAGGAGAGCGGCGCTCCGCAACTCTCCAGCTCCAGCTTTCCAGCTCCCCCGATGAACGTGATGCCATAGCGTTTGGGGCAGCGCTTGGTTACTGGTTGGGCTCATTCACCACGAACTCGTTAGCCCACTAGGGATGTCAGCAAGGCACAACTCAAAGCGCATGAGCATTCCTGGAAGGGAAGCTCCCAAGACCAGCCAGGTCCAAAATGCGGTCCACGGTTTGCATAGTCAGGAGCACAGAGTCCTTCCAGTCTCGCAAAAAAACTTGCCATATGTTGCTACAAGATGGAGCTCCGCTGCTCAGACTGATGATGTCCGCATTTTTCAGACCCCTCTGCTGTGAACAGCTCAATAGAAAATAAATTTACAAGTCCTGGACTTCAACCAGTCCTGACGGCGACCTCGCACAGCCTCTCGGAAGCTGCCCAGCTGATGCTCAAACCTGTCAGGACATGCGGACCATGCTGTCCATTCACACCAGTCGAAGCCCAGGTGTCTTTGCTGCTCGAACACTGCAACCCTTCTCAGGCCGCGTACGTTGATTCGCCAGAGCCATAGAGCTGCTCCGATGTTGACAGATTGTCGACTCAGCTTGCGGTGCTTGCGTGCTCTAGGTAGGCTGCGTTAGCAAAGTATTTGTATGAGGCAGGGGCTCTTCCAGTCAAGCCGGTGCCACAGGAACGGGAAGCCGAAATTGTGGAATGTCAGCAAGGCCTGCGTGGCGGTGGCAAAAATCCAGTTCAAAGAACGCAATGAACGCATTAGCATGAAGTGGCGCCTGTCCGTCGGGACCAGAAGCCGAGAGCCTCCAAGTGAACGGATCCATGGCCGAGTCTCGAGCCATGGACATGGAGGCGTTGATCACCTGGCTGACCGTGTGCAGCCGAAGCGTGGCGCTCAGAGAAAACGGTTTCTCCGCCGCCGAGATCACCTCTACCTCCACCGCGTCCGTGCACCACAGCAACATGTCAACGCTGTACCACCAGCGGTCAAAGTTCTTCACTCTCTGCGCAAGCGTGACTTCCCCAGACCAAAAGCTTTGCAACCAAGCCTTGGGGTCCAACATTGAGAATCTGACTTCTAGGGCATGTACAGGGGATATGCCTCCATGGCCGTTGCCAAACATCCGTTGTTTCGCGCGCTGGGCTGCAGGATGATAGCGGTAGTGCGCTGCCTCAAAAACGATGCGGCCTGTCCGTATGGCTTCTTGGGAAAGTTCTGATGCCTCGCGTGCATTCATCACAGCTGGTTTCTCCAACAACACGTCTCTACCAGCACGAAGGGCTGCAAGGGACCACTCTAGATGAAAGGGTGTCGGCAGTCCGACATACACAGCATCCACGTCATCCCTCTTCAGCAAATCAGAATATGCAGTCGCCCCGCCGTGAAAGACTGGGATACTGAATCGAGAAGCGTATTCCTTGGCGCGCTGCACGTCTCGTGCGGCAACAGCAGACACCACAACGTCTCTCCTCTTGTCAGCAGCACTTACAATGGCTGCCCTGGCAATGAAAGATGCTCCAAGAATGCCAATACGAAGAGCATCCGAATCCTTGTCATCTGGTGCTATCAATGTTTGTGAGAGTCTCCACACACGTAGTGCCGCCGGCCACAAGAGAGCGGCTCCTACTGCGCAGATTGCAACAAGAACAGGGCAAACACATTGCCTCGCCATTGCAACTTTCCGAGAGAAAGGCACGACAAACGTCAGGCATCAGTCATTACGTAAACAGTCTCATGCAAACACAGCCCGACTTGCCAGGTGGTCTGTTCTGAGTGGGGTCGGTTGAACTGTACTAGCTATGCAGACCGATGCCAGCAGTTCGTTAGACCAGCTAAGCATGAGGATGCGTCAGCAAGGGTCTGCACCTGTCAATCACCAAACGGCATGCAGGGTAACAGCGCACCGTATAACACCCAGCTACAGTGACACCTGCAAACTGATTCGGCACTGTTGTCAAGTAGCTTCGCCAATGAAGGCCGCTCAAACGATCGATCAGCAATTCTCAACTGTTGATGTAGCAGGTAAGATGGCTAGCATTTACTGATCCACCCTGGTACCCCTGCCTGAACATGAAACGCGCGACACCTTTGTGTTCCTGTTTCTGCCGCTGCTGCGGCCTAGACTTTTATGCCTTAAAGAGATCTATCTGAAATCACTCCCCGATTGCTAGCTGCTAGCTTGCCACGTAACGATGTACTTTGGATGCCAGCAGTTGCAGTCTTTTTTGAGAACCGACGATCGAGAAATACGGGCATGCGAAAGCTGCACGTGTTCATGCAAAGATCATCTCCTGCTCCTGCAACTTTCTGTACTGTTGCACTGGCCGGCAGCTGGAACAAAGGAGCCTGCGTGTACTCGCAGAGCATGTGATCAAAAACCTGGCCCTGACAGCTACAGATCCGGCTGTGGACACGGCCCCAAGTTGTGATTCAATCTCACAAGGGTCAAGAATGCCTTCCGGCAGCCCTTCTCCAAACATTTGCAAAGCTCGAAAAGATTTCCAAAGCCCAGCCGAGTTCAAGCTGGATAAACGCTTTTGGGATTTTCTCAATCAATGACTTGGCAGGGCCGGTCAAGTAGGCGGACCCGTTAATTCTGCTGCTTCGCAGCACATGACATGCAACTGAGAATGATGATTCGTCCGCTTAGTCAGGACGCACTATATACAAACACCGGCAGGTTGGCTTACAGCCAAGCCCTGCCTCGAATGAATGCGTTACAGGTGACACACGGTGATGCAAATCACCTACAGTGACCTACAGCTGAACCCGCTAACTGCCGAACTGGAGGGCCCGTCTAGCCTTGGTGCGAAACGACTGACATCTTGCAATCAGTCGAAAGCCTGTCACTGAATGATCTGCCGCTATGTGCCAAACGCTTCTTGGACCCTCCTCCGGGCATCTTCGCGCCAAAGGGCGACACATACCTTCAGGATCTTCATTCACAACTCCAAAATGCCTGAGTGCAGTGACCGATGCTTGTCGTACCTCCGCTGCGAGTTTGGAGCCCACGTGGAGTTCATCTTGTCGGCTGTCGTGCCAGACCTCGAGGAATGGATTCCAAGAGCTTAAAAATGCGATGTCATCTCTTGAGACACTGAGACGCAAGCCCTGAGCTCACCTTACATGCGACAAACATTCATAGCATCACTTGTCACTTGCGCCCTATGTGTGTTTCCACGGGCTCGGCCGTTGTTTTATGTGAGCTGTGGATCCAAATTTCACGGACATGTGAAGTGCATCAGTCTGGCAATGATCGGGACCATGCTCAACACAAAACATGAACAGCATGCGGGTGCAGCCAAGCAGTAAGTATCGTACCCCACGCCTGTGGTCTTGGTGGTCGGTTGTAGTCCAACTATGCGGGTTCGTTGACGACATCGGATCCTTAATGCGAGCTCACGGGGAAATCGAGCACTGGAACACTTGCGGCTGTGGCGTGTGACAACAACCGAGATCAGCACACCAGTGGAGGACATGCTGGACTGCGTGTTGGCTCCTCCTGCGGTGGCACGCTTTCCGTGCTCATGATCTCTCCATTGAGGTTACTGGTCCTGTCGTGCTGCTGACAGTTCCATTGAACCTGAAGAAGCAGCGAGAAACAAAATGTGTTTGAAACTTCTTTCTTTCCCAAAGAAAAGCTTTCTTTGGACCCGGACCCCTTTGATGTGCCCAGCACACCCAGCGACTTCTCCGCGCCGTGCACACTGCACAGGGACTTGCTGTACCAAAGCATCAGTTGGGTCATGCAAGCTTAGCTCGGCAAACGGAGCAAAGGTCGCTTTACTAGTACTAGTCTAGTACTCTCTAGGAGCGCCACCCTCCCATAGATCCATGGACTGTCATAGTTCCATGCCTGAATCAAACTGGGCACCCAATCAAATGCCGCCATTGAGCACTCTGAGGGTCTGGCACCATGCCAGGTTTCTGCAAGGATGCCTGCAAGGCTACAGTACTGCTACAGACTGTAACAGTTGCAAGCAACGACTCCAGGACATGGGAAGCAGCTAAGTTGGCCGACGGCAGCTGCAGTTTTGAAGGTCTGCGTCTTCATCTTGCTGTCGCGTTTGCCTTTGAGCCCGCCAATGGGCGGAAGGACCTGGCTGCAGAAATGCTGTTCCTCCGGCCTCTGTAAATACTGGCTGAGTGTTCCGCCATACCATCATCGTGCACCTCGTCACTGTCTGCCATCCCGCCGACCTGTCTTGTGAATGGGCATCAAGACCCCTCGCGACCCAAATGACCTCAATACTTTAGTACCGTGAGCATGCAGGACTATGACTGCCAACCGTATTGGCGTGCACAGAAGCGCCTTGCGTCGCTCCTGGCGGATGGTGGGCAGCCCGCCGCTGCGTGACTCCTCAGGCCTTCACTCGCGCTTGCTGACGGTCACTGCATGACGATGATGGCTCACTGGCGCATCATGTTGTGGGCATCAGTACCACTCCACGCTGAGACTTGGACGCAGGACTACTGCTGCGACTGGGCCTTGACATGAGCGAGCGGCAACACCAAAAAGGATTTGAGCGGACTTACGCATGGATATCGTTGTTGGGAGTTCGCCTTACCGTCGGCCATATCGGCCGTCCAACGATTGAATTTTAATGTTGTTCTCAGGCCTCAATTCATTTTGGGGCTCATCTAGCTGAGCTGGTTGATAGAGCCAGCCCTCGTTTGATGACAAAATGATGAGTGGCATTTGTATAATATATGATCACCGGGACACCGAAATGCCTGAGGCCTTGCATGCTAGATTTGGGACAAAAGTCGTTCTTGTTTCGCTATCGCTTTCAGTATTCCCGGCACCCGAAGCGAAACGTAGAACACAATTGCAGGTTAGACAACAATTCGCTGCTTAATCGTCGACGTTGCCATCAGACAATGGGCCATCCCTACACAACCCACGTCGCCAAAGGCTACATCACGTCAAATTACATATATCCAAAATAGTTACAAATGGTCATCTGAATGTTGATGTCATGCAAAACGTCGGGGGATGTTGCAAGGCGCAAGGCGAGCCAAGTGCCGAGCTCATGCGTCTGCTCCGGATTCTCGTGCTCAGCGTTACTTGCGACGCTGCTGGTGGCACTCAGGCCAGCCTGAAGCAAAGCAAAGCCATGCCAAGCAATGTCTCGCCTTCAATGCCACGAACATCAGCTAGTCATTCAAACGTATAGTCAAAAATCGAAGCCCTTGCCTTTGACATGGGATCGCGACCTTAAGTTCAGCATCATTACCGTATCCTCTGCTTCGTGGCACTTCAAGACAGCAATCAGGTGTGTCCAGCTAACGTCCTGACAAATCTTAGGTCCCAGCTACGCGAGCCACCGCTGGTTGACTGGAGCTGAGCTACCTCGGTTTATCATATTCCCAGTTCCGTCTGACAACGCACCAGTGAAGTTTTCCATGAGTCCAAGACAGCCGTGGCCATTTCCTTCACAAGGTTTCAAGGTTCCAGGCCAGTCTACGCAGGATGTTGCAAATCAGTTTGCATCCTTCTCAGCTTCACGAAGCTCGCGGAAGTATGGATCCTGGCAAACACCTACTTGGCCCTGACTTGTTCAAGAAGTTTTTGAAAACGTCTGCTTCCGTCTGCCTGTCCTTCAAAGCTTGCCTCGCAAGGATGCGCTCATCAGGGTCATACCTTCGCAGCAAAATCCAACAAATTGCAGCTGAACAGTACAGTCACCCCTTTTTGTACATGCGGTGTGGGACAATCTCTGAGAAATTGTGGCAGCATTTGTGTGTCTTAAGGACTATGAGAGCCACGTGCAAGAGGCTGCCTCACCAGCTTCTTCATGAGTTCGACGAGCTCTGGGTCGGCATGGGGGATCAGGCGCTCAATGCCAGTGCCCTACGGACTTTCAAATTGTACAGTCATCCTCTTCCTCGAGAGGACATGGCTCCATCTATTTGCTGTAGCTCTGCCTTCTTTTCGGGGAAGTTGAAGTCCATGTGGGACGCCTCATGGTGCGTGCAGCAGAAGTTTGCCAGCCACGATCAATATCTTGGCAGGTGATGACCTGCCTGTCGCGTGTCTGAAGCCTCCTGAGGTCTTGGCATTTCGACGAAATTTCCTAGCAAGCAGCTCTGCCGGCGGAGTGCCGAGCACCTGAAACATAGTCTCCGCGTAGGGAAACTGAACCTGTTGAAAGCTATAACTCAGTCCACTGAGAACGAAAGTCTGAGATCCCAGCATTGTGAATCTTCTGGATTTGATCCTGACCGTTACACAGCACTTAAGACAATCCATCAAGCACTGCACGTTGCGTCTGTGGTCCTAAGCTAGAAACTCCTAGGACCAGGACCAAGGGTCAGACCATCTCGTTCTGTCCAGGGAAAAGGGGAAACAGCGCCACGATCTCAAAACAAACGCCTCAGTGACTGCACTTTTGTTGGCAAACATCCTTCAGCCAAGCTAGCTGTTGGCACTGGCTGGCATGTTGCTCGACTAGGGCTCCAGCAGCCGGCTGCGAAGAGATCCATCTTGAAGTTGTAGTACCCATCCTTGAAAAATGTGCGACCCACAAATAAACGTGCAGCCGTGCTGCACTGCCACTGCGAGCTTGAGTAACTCACTGTAAGCAGGCACTCTGGTGCTCGGTACCACCTGGACAGAGATGTCGCATGCTGCATAGGAGAGCTGCATACCCTTATCCCTTAGGTGCTTCGGTGCCCGCCTTGTGGAGATGTACTCTGTGAACCTGAAACCACAAGACAATGACAACTTTGACCAATGTCCCTTCAAAAGCCAAGTTGCAAAACAGGTCTAATGCGCTCGTAGTCTGGAGCTTCGAAGGTCCGAGGGCGCGGCGGCTGGCGAGAGTATATCCCGCGGCAGCTGCCCAAATCTGCAAGCTTGATCTCATCCTCACTTCAACAGCATAGTGGGCTCGTCGCTTGTTTTTTGACGCAGTGTTGCAGTGCCCCAGATTCCTCACTGCATTTCCTGTGAGTCTAATGAAGCTTAATGAAGCCGAGGCCGCGGCGTCTAGCAAAAGCAGGTTTTCAGGCCTGGCCACTTTGCCACAAAGAGATGGCATGAACGGGTTCTACAGTGCTGTGCCGTCGTGCCGCCAGCCCTGCTTCGACTTTCTCTCAAGCACGTCGGAGGCACTTCACATCTCGATGAAAAATACCGTTGCGATGCATGTGGTCCAGTGCCTTCGTTTGAAGGAACTCCAAGCTGATTTGATACAGCAAAGCCACTGCCTTCAACATCTCGTACATGTAGTGTTTTACCTGCGGGAGAAGCCGCAGCAAGCTGCAGTCACTTCGATCAACGCTAGGCAGCGGGCCTTCTGCTCCGGCAAGTAGTGCCTGCGGCCTTTGATGGCCTCATAGAGGTTCATGTCCTGGGTTTCATTGCAGTCTCCCCAGCCCCACGCAAACCACCTGCGAGTGCAACGGTAAGCCAAGCGCCAAATTCATTGAGGTTGGCAAGGGCAAGAATACTAAACACATGTCCCCTGCACGATACAGATACAGCAACAAATGAAGCTGTTTGAGGACATCGGCCAGACTGAACTACAAACTTCTGGTCGTCTCTCTCAGGTCGGGGCCATGAGCTCAAAGACTAAAGCAAGTCTCCCTGTCGGCTCATCGTATAAGACCTGCTTTCATTGAATCAAACTGTTCTGGGCTTCCAGAGAGGTCTTTAATGCACTTTCAAGAGTAGAGACCCTTATGCATTTCTCCGCAAGGCATGCAAGCACGAAAGTGGACATTACCTTTGGCAATCGTTCCACTTTCTCCGCTGGTCTGCCAGTTCCTCTGCCTAGAGCTGCAGTAAAGGCGTCAAAGTTCCCATGACCACCACCTTAGCATCTTGGTGGCTCTCAGTGATGACAATGTTCAGCTTTCGAGGCACTGGCTGCACAAACCACTGTGACCAGGGACCACGGAACCTTTACATCATTCTGCAGTCAAACAGAATACAAGCCACAGTCAACATTTCCCATACAAGTAATGGACATGGGTGGCGAGTAGGGAATAGATTAAAGAGATTTAAAGACTATACAGAGCTGCCAAAGGGACGCCTCATGTCAGCCTGTAATGGCCCCTTACAAAATGCCTCATATTGATTGACAGTAGCTCATACAGCGACAGCCGCGCATTTCATGGACGAGCATACCACTCCCACTCGTATGCAAAGACAACAGTGTGCTTTCCGCATCCACACTTGCATCACCCCAGCATGCTTCATGGCTTGCCTCATGGCTTTCGGTCCCTTCGCCATGGACTTTGGGCAGGATGGGCTCCTCATTTTGCGTGACTTTCGTTGCAAACTATGCAGTGCTGCATGCAGGGCTCAACGCGATCAGCACGTGTGTCTGGCGCGATGCAGCTACCCCTCAAAGGTCCTTCTCACTGCTGGCCGGTCCTCAGCGCATAGCCGAGATTCGTGGCTACAAAGGCTCCAAACAGTATACTCAGTATACGAAACGCCTCATGCACCCCATGAGCTGCGAGCAACATGCACTTGGGATCTGGCCGCTGTCGGTGAGGTACCAGCATACGCCAGTGCAGACCAGGACCAGCCCAATAATCATGTACTCGTTGATCACCTTATTCTGCAATTCTAACCTTGATGTCGCGCTTGCTGATGGGCATCCGGCTGAGTGCAGGGCTGCCCCAGTCATCAGCGATGCTATAACCACAACGAAAACATGCCTCAGGTAAGCTCATGAGATGTAAGCAACCAGCAGGTTCAGCAAATGGACCAGCATGCGAGTAAGCTCTGTCCAGGAAGCTTGAGTGCTACCAGCAGCGCATGGGTCTCCACCACGAAGCAACTCCTTAGCAAGTCGCGGTTAGCATCTTCATATTATATCAGACGGCCCTAACTAGTAATTAGATTGTTGGCCTTTGGCACATGAACTGATACTTAAGAGCCAGGGATGGCAAGTGCCTTCACGTGTTTCAGTCGAAATGCTCCCTGCAAACAGTTGCGTCGGAATGCAGCTGCCGAAGTCAATGGGTTTGCAGCCCAGGACAGCGAATGATGCCACTTCTGCTGTAACCACTACCGATTACCATGGCAAAGAGTGCCTGAAGAGTTGGCTGCAAAAATAATGCCGCTGAGCAGCAAGAGGAGGAGTGACGAGCTTTGATACAGGAAGTAGGTCAAAGCTGCCTGGGCGCATTCCAACCCCAATAGGCAAAGTAGCTTACCAGCCAAGCGCAAGTCTAAGACATCATGCAAAGCGATTGCTGCGCACCACGAGCATACGTTGGATATGCTACTTCCTAGAAAGTCCAATGCAAGCAAGTTGCCGTGAACCATGCTGCGGGGCGGTGGTACAAATGTCGGATTACGCTACTAGTAGCTTCATGGTTTGGTAGCATCCGCCCAAGCAGAAGCCACAAAACAAGGAGCACCTCATCAGCGCAGCTCATGCGCAAGTCTGCTGACATCGCTTGTAAAACGCCACAGTGGTGCCAAAGGGCTGTTCCGGATTGGGTGGCGGCGACCGTGAGCTTGCCGAAAGCCTTGCATGAGCTGGGACAACGTGTTGGCAAATTCACCGAATGCTGAAAGCACAACCTGGAGCGGGTGGTTGCTTTCGAAGACCAGCGCCTCAACTGCATGGCTGGCAGCACAGATTGCTGGGAATCGGGTGAAAATGGAAACGCTGTTGATGCTGGTGTTGTCGTTGCTTGCCTTGCAAAAATTGTTTCAACATCCCCTGTACCGCTTTGGCGAGGTTTTCGGCTGTGCTTGAATTCAGCTTGGCCAATGAGACCGGTCACAGGGCACATGACAAATGATCTACTTTACTTTGCCCGATTCATGAAGTGCTTCATTGCAGGAATGTCAGGCTGGGGGGTCACTTTCAGTCTGGAGGAGCATGCGCGTCCTCTGCCCCTGTTCAGGGACTCGCTTCCATCTTGGACGCCGAAAATGTGTGCCGGACCTGGGAAACCTGGGCTGGTTTTCCTTGTGAATGCACACGGCAAAAGCAGTATTGTCGTCCCACCCAGCTTCTAGTCGTAGCAAGTTTTGTCTGCTCTGTACCCGGCAGGTTTTTGGCATGGCAAATCGGTCACAATCCAGACCAACGCGCCACGTTTGGCTCCAGCTTTTGCGTTCTCAACTGCTAAGTCGCATCAAAGCCCATACAACACTCAAAACCATGCGGAACACAGGCATATGGATTTCGTGTCCTGTGGGATGTTGCATATGGTGCAGTCACCACTTGTTCTATAATAAGCACACGTTTTTTTGTTTTGTGAAATCCTTCAAGTATCTGCGCAGGAAGTCTTAAATACTTTCCAAGTGAAGGCATTGCTCCATTGAAGCTTTTAAGTTGTCAAGTCTCCATGGCCTCATTGTCAAGTGGAGTGAAATTTTCAACGAGCATTGCCCAAATTCCCCACCAACTTTTTCTTCATGCTGAAGAACTGTCCGTTGCGTTGAAAGTTGATGAGAGACTGAAAGTTTTGGCAGTGGATCTAGGCTTTGAGCAGTCATGGGCGTGTGGAAATGCATAGTTCATCGTCCAAAGCGAAAACCTTGCCAAACATGTGTTTTGCTGAATTAAATTTGGCCTGCAAAGCAACATTGAGCGAGGTTCGAAGATTCACCGATTCACTCTTAGGTTGAGATAGACTTTCATGTAGACTGGGTTGGCACGCTGTATGCCGTGTTTGTGTCTGGAAGGCATTTGCACGGCTATCGCTGCTTGCGCTGGTGCTAATGCTGGTTTTGGTGCAGGTGCTGCGCTGCTGCTGCTGCTGC